TGAGAAAGCCAGTGGTTTTCTCTAGCATAAGGTAGGGGTCTGTGTTTACTTCACAAGATCAGTGAAACAGGTGCAGGCGAGCCTGCTGGAGACCAGGCAGGGCCTGGCAGTGTGTCAGAACTGGAGGTGGAGGAGTGGAGTCGGAACTGTACAGGGAGTGGGGAGAAGGCACTGAAGCGAGGCGGCGAGGAGGCCCGAGCCACGGCTGCCTGACGTCTGCCCACCTCCCACACTGTCTTCGGGGCCCCACTATCCTCCCTGCTTAGAGGAAGCCTAGGCATGAAAGAGGAGGGAGGGCCAGAGGAAAGACCCAGTAACCTTGAGCAAGGCAGGGCACCTCTCTGGGACCCCTCATCTCTCTAGGGAGGAAGTGGTGTGTACCTAGCAAGCTATGTCAAATGGCTGTTGTCAGAACAACAAACATCCTGAGTTTGGGAACATCTTTGTATGTTCTCACCCCCGCACCCATCCATGCCCACCAGGGCAAGCAGGGACCTTTCTGCCCCCCACCCCCATGTTCTCCCCATGAACCTCCTCACCAGCTGGCTCCACATCCCACCTGCTCTGTGGCAGGCAGGAGGTCAGGCTGCCTGTCATCTCAGTCCTGTACTCCTTCTTGCCCAGGTCTTGAAGCTAGACACAGGGCTGGTAGCCTTGGAGGCTGAAGGCCAGGAGCTCCTGCTGGAGCTGGAGAAGAACCAGTGAGTACCAGGCCAGGGAGGGGGCTGGAAGCCAAGGCAGCCCCTCTCCCAGAAGGGGGGGCAATGCTGAGGGCAGGGACTGATGGGAACCCAGGAGGGAGCCTGGAAGGGGTGAAGGTTCCCTTGAAGCTGAAGTGGACTGTTGGGCTGGGTCAGCCCTGCTTGGGGCACATCCTTCATCCAGGCTCCAGGAGCATCTTGTCAGCTCCCTGCCAGAAATGAGTGAGCATCACCTAATGGATTCTCAAAAAGAACCCTAAGTCAAAAGAGAATCCAAGATAGGTTCCAAAGATGGGCAGGCACTCCAGGCCAATGAAATGACAAGGACCAAGGTGCAGTGGTACAAAGATCAAGGCGCATTCAGGGGGCATCAATTTGGCCTGCCCAGAGGGTCTCCATCTGCAGGGAAAGGAGCAACGGGTAACGAATTTGGGGAGTACCAGTGGGGCTGGATCACAGAAGGCTGTTTCAGCGCTGAGTATCCCGGGTGGTGCAGAGCCAAAGGTTTTGAGTTGGAGAAGGAGCAGGCAGAGCTGGGCTGGATGGGTTGGGTGTTCAAGGTGGAGCGCGAGATCTTAAAACGGCTCAGACCATATTATCAACAGCTATTTATCAAGAGCTTGTTCCATTGAAGGCACTGCTCTAAGCACTCCACACACTTTTTATTCTCCTCCATGGAGTCAGATGGACTAGGAATCAACTAATGCCACCATGCCTGACCACAGTTTCTCTGGGGCTTGGTGTCCCCTGCATTAAATGGGCCGATCATATCACTTACTTCCTAGGGTTGTGTGTGTGCATGGAGTGGGGAGCAAAGCTTGAGAAGGCGAAAGGAAGACTGGGAAGTGGAGAAGCAGGCATCACAGGTCTTTGGGTTGGCCTGGCAGTACAGAGGTCAAGGAGAAGTGGGAGTCAAGGATTTTCTTTAAAGAAGAGAGATTGACTTATGGTTGATCCATCTTGGTGGGAAGGATCCTGATGACATGGGGCCCAAAGATGGCATTGATAAAGGGATGAGCATCACTGAAGGACAGTTGGAAAGATATATGGGGTCTGGGAGCCAGAGGAGAAGATCTGAAGGATTCTTGAGGCCAGGAGATGGACTAGTGAAAGGGTTGACCAGATGCCCAGCAAGAGTAGGCAGTAGAAAGGGCCACCTAGGGAGTTCAACCACACTTTCTTGGCTCCAAGTCCTGTCTCCTTGGCAGTGTCTCCTGAGTACTCCCCTCCTGTGAAGCCCCAGACCTGGGGATCCACCTGCTTGCCACAGGCTCCACAAATTCTGCCCCTATTGCTCCTCCCTGATGCTTTCCACACTCCCACTTCCCATATCTAAGCCATCACCCAGGCTCCTTCCTGCCCTTCACTTTTCCCTTCTAGCCCAAGGTTTTTCTGAGCTAAGCAACACAGTCATTCCTGTCCCTTTCCTAAGACACACTTTGGGTGCTTAAGTGCTAGCCCTGTGCCTCACTTATAGACCTACTCAATTAGCATTCAGGAAGAAGGCTGGAGGGCATCCTGGACGAGACAGATCTGATTAGGTGATCCTTACAACACCCCCTCCCAGCAGGCTACTAGCTGCAGGATATACAGAAACCCACTACAGCCCAGATGGGCAGCCAGTGATGCTGGTCCCCAACCACACGGTGAGATACTTCCATGGGCACTGAGGACAGGGTGAAGGGTGCTGGGGGATGCACTCCCTGAGGGCCTCCCCACCATTCCTTCCCCATTCTCCTCCCGTTCCTAAGGAGAGGCTGAAGTCAGCCCCCCACCATGCCTGCTCTTGCCCCTCCCACTTCAGTCCTGGCTGTGATTTGAGGCTGGATCTCTTGCTCTCCAGGATCATTGTTATTACCATGGGCGTGTGAGGGGCTTCCCGGACTCCTGGGTAGTCCTCAGCACCTGCTCTGGGATGAGGTGAGGAGTTGTGGGGGAGGGGGCTGGGCCTGGGCTTGGGGCAAGAATTCTCTTACACCCCCTTCTGCACCGCTCTGCGCCCTAGGGGTCTGATCATGCTCAGCAGCAATGCCAGCTATTATGTGCATCCCTGGCCATCTGGGGATGCCGAGGACGTCTCAACCCACAGGATCTTCCGGACAGAGAAGCTACTTAACTGGAAAGGGGCCTGTGGCCACAAGGATCCTGGAGACACAGGGAACATGACCAGCCTTTCTCATGCCACCCAGATCAGGGTTAGGGCACAGACATGGGTGGGAGTGGGAATGCAGTATCCATAGCCCTCCAAATCAGAAAGGCAGGGATGTGTGGCCCCCGTTCAGGGTCTCCTGTCCTGATGTTCATATTTGGAGGCTGAAGAAACAAGTCCTGGCAAATTTATAAAGTTAACTTTGTGCTTTCAGGGGATTGGAGTTGGTGGTCAGGGCTCAAGCCCAGCAACCTGTCACTCAGGGTCACTGTTGCCTCTCCCCAGGACCTGCGGGAGGCCCGCAGAAGCCCGAGGTACCTGGAGCTGTACCTAGTGGCTGACCACACTCTGGTGAGAGGAGACTCCAGGGGGCTGAGGGGGCCCAGTGGGGCCAGCGCAGCCTGTCACACCGCCATATTGCTGCTTTTCCAGTTCTTGACCCAGCACCAGGACTTGAACCACACCAAACAGCGTCTCCTGGAGATCGCCAACTATGTGGACCAGGTTGGGGGCAGTGGGTGGAAAAATAGGCATAATGGGAGTTTCCACCACAGGGGCAGGCTTGGAGATGAGAGAGAATGGAGGGGAAAGAGCAGGGTGCCAGCACATGTGCCTGCCCCCCGCTTCAGGCCCATCCTGCCCTGACCACAGATTCTCAGGACTCTGGACATTCATGTGGCGCTGACCGGCCTGGAAGTGTGGACAGAGCAGGACCAGAGCCCCGTCATGCCCGACGCCAACGCCACGCTCTGGGCTTTCCTGCAGTGGCGCCGGCGGCTGTGGACAAGGCGGCCACACGACTCGACGCAGCTGCTCACGTGGGTGCCTCCCATCCCCACGAGGGTCCCCCGCTGGGCAGCTCCCCCTCCCGGGGGGTCAGCCGGTCACCCCGCCCTCCGTCCTCAGGGGCCGCGCTTTCCAAGGCAACACCGTGGGCCTGGCTCCGGTCCAAGGCATGTGCCTTGTGGAGAGCTCTGGAGGCGTGAGCACGGTGAGCTGCGCCCCGGGATGCACGCGGGGACAGGTGCGGGGGCGCCCTCCTCAGCGCGCAGTGACCGCCCACACCCTCCCAGGATCACTCGGAGCTCCCCATTGGCGCTGCAGCTACCATGGCCCATGAGATAGGCCACAGCCTGGGCCTCAGCCACGATTCCGACGGCTGCTGCGTGGAGGGGGCAGCTGAGCCGGGCGGCTGCGTCATGGCAGCAGCCACTGGGTACGGGCGACCCTGGGGGGGGGGGCGGCTGGGGAGGCGCCGCTAGACCCGGGGCCCTCCCTCGGCTGCGTTCCTTTGGGTGAATGCTTACCTCTCCGTTTCCTCTTCTGTAAAATGGGGATATAGTCATAGTACCCGCCCTGAGCTGCTTATGAGGCTTAAGTGGAGGAAACACGAGCAAAGTGGATTCACAAGAGTATAAAGATTCTTTGCGGGAACACCTAGCGAGGGGGTTCCTACGGGCCGGGCCGAGTTGGGCCCGGATTCTACCTTCAGCCCTGGGCTGCGGGCTCCCGGCGCCACACCCTCCCGCCTCGGTCTAGCTGTGTGACTTCGCCCGGGTTACTTACCCACCCTGGGCTTTGCCGTCCGAGCGGCGTGTCCGCCCACCCGCGGCCGTGGGCCGAGCGCTGGCGGTCGCGGCGGGCGGGATGGGAGGCG